GCTCAAATCTCCAGGAAATTCTGAAGGTTTTCTCTCTGAAGTTTGCATAAAGCTGAATAAGAGTGAAAACTGGAACATAAAACATGACTACCTAAGCCCCTTTCTACTGGCACCCAAGCAAGTGCTCTGTGAATGCTCAAGGATCTATTTTCAAACCAGGAAGGAGAAGCTGGAAGGTAGAGGGAAAGAGATGACTGTGATTTGGGGACAGGAGTCATGGAAGGAGGCTTAAATAAAGAGGACAGAAGACAACTGCTAGACAAGAGTGAACATGCAAGGAGACCAGCAGTGAACATCAGTGTGGAAAAAAGACAAGCCAACACTTGGTGAAGGAAAAGTGGGCTTCGATCAACTTGGTTAGATGAATTAGAGCCCATTGGACTAGGAGCTGGTGTGAGAAGCAGAGAGGTTGAAGACTAAGACTTCTAAGAGAAGAGTCCTTGCTTAGGAAGCAATGTTGAAAGCTACATAAGGGCACTAAGAAAAAGAATAAATGCAAACCAGAAAGAAGAACAAGACTTCCCAGCAAAGTGCTGGGAAGTCAGCCAGGTACACTAACCTACACTCAGTATGTACTTACTGTTGTGCACCGGGTAGTCACGATCCCAGTTGTTCACATCAGGAGCCTGGCTTGAATGTGCTACATCCCTGTTGCCTGGTATTTCCTTCCTATGAAACATATAATTTACACACACATATGCTGTTCGTGTTCAGGCCCCTTGGGGTAGTAGGTCATACTTTTTCTTCACATTCAGAGAACTGGAACCACCCCATAATACCTCCTCCTACTAAAATCCAGGACTTTGTGGAAAACCTCTGTTCTCTCCCCACCTAGGCTGCATGATTTTTTTAGTACCCTTAACCAGAGCAAGCTGAGGACTTCACACTGGATCTCAGGAGTATCCCACTGCCCACTGACAGCTTCCATTGCCAAAGGGCAAAAAAAAATAATCCCCCAATGCAATTTGGAGCTTGTGTTTCAGCTAACCAATAGGTACTGTACACAACTGAGGGTCCAGGACTGGGGGGGATTAGCCTGGGAGGAAAAATGATAAAAAGCTGGTTATAGGTTCCACTTACAAAGCAGAGAAAAACTGCAGGGTAAAGCTACAGGGTTCAGCCCTACTGTAGAATAGAAGTGTCCCAGCATGATGCCTGACTGCTTCATTTCTGCTTGCACACAGGTCCACATACAGACCTTCTACCATGGAACCTTGACTTTGCTTGAGGCAGAGAATGGATGGTGCCCAAATCATACCAGTTTTACCTCTGGTTCTTGCCCAGTGCATAGCCCATAGCAATTACTTTTGGATGCTTGACTTCACAAACAAAGCAGCTGTCTTTCAAAATAGTTCAGGGTATTCGCTTGTAATATTAAAAAAGATACCAAGATACACCATTAAAGCTCAAATTTATCATTTTTACCCTTCTACAAAAACAGTGTTGAAAAAATAAATAAGGGCAAGAAAGATTCACTGAAAACTACATAAAATACTCATTGCAGATACAGTAAGATCAGTCTAAAAGATTTTAATCTGCCTTGCAGATCAATATAATTTGTCCAATACAAAATCCAACAACAGCAATTTGTGACTGAGATGGGTCAGGTACTAGGGATTTTGCATCTTTAGCTCACCAAAAGGTAAAAACTAAAAGTAAGCACATATAAATATTTGCAGTATGCAACCATTATGCACCTTTTGCACTTGAAAGTGAGTTTCATGAAACACGGGAGTTGTTATTTTTGAGTCTCGTGGTGATTTGGGTGGTAGTTTAGATGCCAAGGAAACCTGATGAACTGCAGTGAATTGGGACCTTACTGCTTGTGTGTGCGTCATTCAACATTGATCTTGACACCCCTCAACTAGAACCTAGAAGGAAGGGAAGAAATGTAGTATGTGCTGGAGAAGGTCCAGAGAAGGGCCACAGAAATGATCACATGGATGGAGCACCTCTCCTGTAAGGAAAAGCTGAGAAAAGTTAGGGTTGTTCAGCCCAGAAAAGAGAAGATTAGAAGGAGACCTTACTGCTGCCTTTCAGTTCTTAAAAGGTGCCTATAAGATGGGGAGAGACATTTTAGCAGGGCCTGTTGCAATAGAATGAGGGGCAATGTTTTTTAACTAAAAAAGAGGAGATTCAGGCTGGATGTGAGGGAGAAATTTTTTTACAACAAGAGTGGCAAAATCCTGGCACAGGTTGCCCAGACAGGTGATGCATGCACCACCATCCCTGGAGATGTTTAAGACCAGCTTGGATGTCGTTCTGGGCAACCTGATCTAGATGAAGATGTCCCTGCTCATTGCAGGGGAGTTGGACTAGATGACTTTTGAAGTCCTTTCCAACCCAAATTATTCTATGAGGGTGGTGAGGCACTGGAACAGGTTGCCCAGAGAAGTGGTAAATGCTCCATTCCTGGCAGCGCTCAAGGCCAGGTTGGACAGAGCCTTGGGCAACATGGTCTAGGGTGTGTGGTCCCTGTCGTTGGCAGGGGGGTTGGAACTAGATGATCTTAAGCTCCTTTCCAACCCTAACTAGTCTATGATTCTATTATCATAGACACAAATTACCCTTATCTACCTGCTGTTCATACAAGTTCTGTGAACTTCTCAGGAAAGACATAGAAGTAATAAGTAGAACTGCTTTAGATAGACTTTTTAACTTATAGAAACATCTGAGTCTTTTGATACTGTGAAGAATCTCTTACATGGTGTTGAATGTACATTTTGCATTCCTAATAATTTAGTAAGTAGAACTGTAATAAACAGCAAACAATTAAAAAAACAAAGTTCTTCTCAGAGCCTTCTCTTTTCCAGGCTGAACAACTTCAGCTCTCTCAGCCTGTCTTCAAAGGAGACACGCTCCAGCTCTCTGATCATCTTTGTGACCTCCTTTGCACTCTGCTTGCAGGTGACGTCTGACAAGAGTAGAATAGAGGATCAAAATTACCTCCCTGGACCTCCTGGTCACACTTCTTTTGATGCAGCCAAGCATATGGTTGGCTTTCCACACTGCAAGTGCACATTGCTGGGTCATGTTGAGCTTTTCATCAACCAGCACCCCCAAGCCCTTGTCATCAGGGCTGCTCTCAATCTATCCTCCTCCCAGCCTGTATTTGTGCTTGGAATTTTCCTGACCCAGGTATAGGACCCTAAACTTGGCCTTGTTGAACTTCATGGGGCTTATACAGGCCCACTTCTCCAGCCTGTCAAGGACCCTCTGGATGTTATCCCTTCCCTCCAGTGTATCAACCACACCACACAGCTTGGTGGTGTTGGCAAACTTGCTGAGGGTGCACTCAATCCCACTGTCTATGTCACCAACAAATATGTTAAAATCACTGGTCCCCAGACCAACCCCTGAGGAAAGTCACACTTTAACACATTCATATTTGTATTTATAATAAATCAGTTTATATACCCCTAGTTAATATTTGCTTAGGGCTTATGTTGATTTCACAATACATGCAATTTTCTGACTCCATCTTTATCTTCAGGGATTAGATTAAATTGAGCAGCCATGTAGTAATTTAGTTTTATCTCGTGCCTTACAGTTTTATGTTCTTGTAATAGCACTTTCTTTCTCTATTTTATTTAATTAAATATATCTTATTCCACAACGGCAACAATTTTTTAATTTATTTCCTAAACAGCTACCATTGTGGTAAGTTTTTTGTGGGGAGAGAATACCTATTTTAAAGACATTTAGAACAGAAACTATCAAGTGTAGAGGGGAGGAAAGGATTAGGATTTGAATTTGGCATAGGTTGAATCTGAAATGCTTCTCTGGCTGGAATCTGGAGCTAAATAGCTATATCTTCAGATGACCTTTCTTCTGTGATTTGCTTGTTCTTTTGTCTTGGGGGGGGGGGGGGAAGTTGTTTATTTCTTTTTATAAAGGAAGTGCTTTTTTTGGAAAAAAAAAAAAAGAGTAGCTTAATCTTTGCCAAGTTATGTTGCAAGATTTGTGATGATGATTTTTGCCTTTGGCTTGACTTACACTAAAATAGCAGGTAAATACTAATTTTTTTTTTTTTTAATTTCCATCATTTTAGCACAACATAGTTAATTTTGATGCTGATGAGGGCAAGGCTAATTGACAGCATATCCATAATAAAAAGCAATGAGTCTGAACACAAGGACTTAGAGTTTCCTCACCTTCTTCAGTTTAAATGGACAAACTGTTTTGAAAAAAACAGCAGGTACATTGAGTCCTGGTGCAGATGATGTTAAACTGGTTTAATCCCAGATTGACTAGAATGTGCAAAGTGAATGTATTTACTGACAGCACTGGCAGCTTCTTTGGTAAATAGTCTGACACAGAACAGAGTAAGCATGTCTAGCTTCAAGTCTTTTTTTGATCTGCAGCTGTGTGTGCTTATCTTCATTCTGAAAAGAAACCGCCAAATAAAATGGATATTATATTTCTAAAAGAGTACTTTAGGATTGTCTCATCACTTTTTCTTTATGAAGTGCCTTTACTTCTTGGGTAGATCCTTCTGAAATCATGATAAACAGGTAGCCTCTGTTAAAAAAAAAAAAAAAAAAAGCTTTCTATAGCTAGGAAACCCCTTTTGCTAACTAACTGCACCTGTTTGACCTCTTGACAAACCACATATTTTACTCTTGCGTTCCTCATGGGCCAGGCACCCTCTATCCATCCTCAAATTGCTGCCAATGGCTTTCATGAATAATACCTTTTCCTTCTGATCTCATCACCGAGCATCCATACCTGTGTAATCTTATCAATTCCCTCAGATATGCCACCAGTGTAAATTAAACTCACAGATCCTAGGATTGACCTGACTTTCCCAGGTTTTGCAAATTGCCTGTGATTGTGGTCAGAAGTAGGTTAACTCAGCTTTTTTGTGTTATTTGATTGGTGCAAAGTAGCTGTAATCGCTGACTTCACAGCACCATCTCCACTCAGACACCACTACCCAGGTAGTACAAAAGCCTACAGCAGCTCAGCACAGCTTTCATGCAGTTAAGGAGCCTGACCGCTCAATACATACCTCTGTTCTAATAGAGATCAGTTATACTTAAACCCACCCCTGCCTGAAAGCCCCCTGATTTAATAAAAAATTCTTTTTACCCAGAAATATTACCACAAGATTGTGGAGATGTATTTGCAGAGGTGTAAAAATACTTGAATAACATGGAAAAGGTAAGAACGAACCAGCATTTTACTATGTATTAGTATTTTTACTTGGCATAAACCAAGGAAAGTTAACTGAGACTCAGAGGCTTCAGGTTTAAAATAAATACACAAATAAATAAATATCATTTTTCTTCATTAAATATCTAGTTAAATTGTAAAACTTTCTGCCATAGCAGGACAATGCTTTCCCACAGAGTTTTCATGAAAAAACCTTTTCTACTAGGTCTGACTATAAGAAATAGATAAGTAATTTTGGAAGTTACAAGCAAATGGGTGCTGGGTAATAATAGCTTATTCCGATCTCCCTCCTAGCATATGAGGAAGGAATAATGGTGCAAATCAGAATGCATGATGCAGGCGGAACTCTTTTTTCATACAGGAGGCAATGCAGATACTGTGAGGATGTGTATAATGTGTTTCCTTACATATTGTGTATCCTGAAGAGAATGATTAAAGTGCTGGGATAGGAATAGTGGAAAAGATACAAGACAGAATGCAGAATATGTGCTTTTCATAGTTTCCTACTTAGAAGTATACTAGGTTGACTCTATAATGCTTTCAAAGATTTATAATGCTGGCTGCCTGTTTTTTAAACACTCAGTATTTTTTCACTGTAGCTGAATGGGAAGCTTACTTGGCTCATGATTTGGCCTTTTTTTTAGGAATAAAATATTTGTGAGCAGAATATGTTTTCTTTTGAGTTCCCATTCTTTCAAAGCAATGTCCAGCAGCAGTACAATCACAATATTAAGTCTAACAATAATCATATGCAGTCATTTCCAATCACAGCGGCTACATGTAGAAGCAGTTACAGACAGTTGGAAATGTGGGGAAATGTCAAACCATATTAAGCTGTCTAGAAAGAAAAAGGAAGAGGTTCACAGCTTGATGAGGAAAATTAAAACCCTGCTGAACCATGCTGAACACCTGAAAATATCAAAGAACAAAACATAAATGGAAGAAAGCCTGAAAAAATTATGAAATGTAAAAAGAAATAAGGTTCAGTAGAGTAATAAATTATATGAAATTGCAAAGAAAGATAAACAATCTGTAACTACTAAAAAGCTCATGGATTACACCAAGCTGCCAATATGACTCTGATAATTGGGAATCTACAATATTGTATTCACTTCTGATACTTGAAGCTGAGCTAGACAAAGGCCAAATGAATTTGGGGGTACAGTCCAGTTCCTACAATAGATTTCTGGACCAGTTGCAGCATATAAATTCAAGACTTAGCAGATTATTCAGCAGCGGTTTGCTGTGAAGTCAGTGAAGAGCTGGTACGTAGGTCACAAACTATGTGGCAGTTATGGCAGTTATTACACTTGGTGAAATCTATGCAAGCAGCCTGTGCCTTAGCTACTGAGAAGTGTGAGCCAGTCACCCCGTTCTGTGCCCTCTCTCCAAGATTTTTTAAATCATTTACACTGGACACTTAAGATTTGGCTGGGCTAGATCATCTAGTCTACGTCATGCTTTGCCTAGACAAATTGGACCATATGATCCTTGAAGTCCCTTCCAACTTGGTATTCTGATTCAATTTTTATATCATTATCAGTATGAGAAATTCAGTCTCCAGAAAGCTAGTGTGAAAATAGGGCCAAAATGTCTTCCCAAAAGAGAATGGTCATCTGTACCTATCTGAAAAGCTTAAAAACATGAAACAAAAGATGAACAGAGAAAAAATAAAAATACAAATAAAGTGATGCAAGACCATTTAATTTAGACAAGATTCTTAATGTTAAGAAAGGGAAAACAGCTAACTATCAGGAGAAAACTTACTGCTTGTGAGAAACATTAAAGTGACTCTAAAGGAAACATTTGGGACCTTAAAAACTGATTGAACAAAGAAGGAAGAAATACACTGCATAGGACAATCCTCCATTTGTACTGCAATGAACTGGATTACCTAATGGCTCTTTTCCATTCCTTACATCTATGATTCTATGCTTCTAAATATATATTTGGAATTCAACATGAGGCAGTGAAAGAGTAGAGGCATTAAAGAACATAAATGGAAAGTTAATGACAGATGAGGTTGATTTTGCTCTAAATGAATTCCTGGCCTCATTATTCATTGTGGGGCAGGAGGGAAGTGGAGGGGAAAGAAAAAAAAAAAGAAGGTAGCATCTCCAGGACTGAGAGACATTTTCCTGGAGGGAAAGTTAAATGTTAAAAAGCTTTGCTATTGCACTGGAGAAGATAATAAGGCAATTAGGACTGTTATATTTGACAAAGTACCAGGCTCAGATGAATTGTACCCCAGAATCCTGAAGGAAGTAACAAAGGAAATAAGAAAGCCTTCAGCAAAGGTTTTTGACAAGCCACTAAGGCGTGTAATCATACCCAAGGTCTTAAGGGGTCCTAAAGCTATTCCCAGATTCAAGAAAAGGGAAGATTCAGGGGACAACCCTGCTAAGTCTCATTTCAGTTGAGAGAAATATATTGGAAATGTTGCTAAGGGACCATGTCGAAGTAATTTTAGTGTATAATTTAATGCAGGTAAAAGAGAAAATCATCAAAAATCTGCACAACACTTTAACGTGTTATGGGAGTAGTAGACCATAGGGCAGAAATTTATCTCATTTATATAGTTGTCAAGGTGGTATAAAAAGGAAGAGAAACCCCTTGTATAAACTGTATATGTATAAATTCATACCCCTGGTACAAATTGGCGGGAGAAATATTTTCAATTCAGCTGGACATTGCCTTAAAGGTTGCCAAAACAGAGTTATTTTTGAAGTGCAACATTACAGAAAAAATATGAAAACTAAAAGGGAGAGAGGCAGTAATACAGCCTAGTGGTTAAAAGCAGTTAAAAGCAGTGGTTAAAAGAGTTTGGCTACTGTAGCTACATTTACATTACAATCTTATATAGATATATCAAACCATAATAGCTCTAAACTAGTTAAACTAAGTACCATTACCAAGGCAGTCAGACAGCACCAAGCTCAACCCAAGCTGCAAAGCCTGAGTGACATCTGGGTAAATACTTCAGCATGATCCTGCCCACAGTCAACTGTTATCACAACTGCATTATCCCAACCAGGATTAACTAGTGTAAAGCTAGCTGAGGTGAGCCTGTAGACATGTTCTTAGACTACTGGTCCTCAGTCTTTTCAATTTGGTGAATCCTTCTTTGAAGCTTAAAACAAAACAAAACAAACCCCAGAAAAAAAAAAAAACAAACAACCAAACAACCCTATTTAAATCTTTTTATGTCTGCAGATGTAAATTCTTAAATCATGAGAACTGTATTCCCAAAAACATAAATAGACATTAAGGCATTCTGAATCCTGAGTCTACCAGCTCTAGTCTTTCATAATCTGTAGTTTGTGACTGTATTCACACTTCTTCAGGAAACTGTCTTCTCTTTGTCTTCATCCTTTAACGCCATTATTTGTCTCTCACCCCTTTCCTTCTCCTTACCCACTTCCAGTTTTCCCTTCAGGAATCGCTTGAAAAACCTAGACTTAATCCCTGATTGCATCTGTAACCAGCTCTGTAAAGAGCTCTGTAACTATTGATGAATTATAAAAATTCAGACCCCTGGGCATCCAAATCTCTTATTCCTTTGTTACAGGGTGTTATAACCCTCTGTACATATAACATATTATTTCTTGTCTTGCTAGGGTTTTGTGCCATCAAGTAGCATGTCGTCTTTTAACAACTGGCAAGAATGGTAAAGAGAACAGTCTTTAACTTAGCCTAAAAAGCTCCGGGGGGGAAGAGAAAAAGAGGAGAGTGTCAAGCTTGACCTATTGCAGGAAAAATTAGCAGGTAATGGTAAGATGCTAGGTCAGGTGAAAGTGGACAAAGATGATTTCTTCTGATGTCACTCTTTATTCTAACCAACTTTGACCACACAACAAATTTTTATCTGCCCAAAATAGTGATATCCCACTTCTGTGGCTTTAAAAGGATAAGATTTTTTCTGTGGGATGATTTCACATTGTCAATTGTAAGTCTTGCCATGAGGTGAAAACCTGTGGGAAAATTATAAATGACATTGTTATTAACAAGAATTTTCTCATTAGCCTGAGCAATATTTTTCCCCCTCTTTGCATCTTTGAAGGGCTTTTTAGTTCATCTCTCAGCACTACTCCCTTCCCTCACCCCTCTGCTCCCCCCCAGTTTTTCTGTTGGTTGTCAGGTCTTTGTTTGCTTGCTTTTCAAATAGATGCCAGACATTTTAGTAGCAGGCTGACTCTAGGTCTGCAAAAAGCAATTTTATTTTGTTTATATAACTGTAAACACCTGTTCCAGATGGACAATTTAGGGGATTTTTGGGGATTTGGCTTTTGTGGCATTTTGCGCTGAACAGAGCAGAATATTTTTAAGAACTGTCTGAGCTGTGTCTTTTCACCTAGCACACACAAAAAGGCTACCTCCTGAAGGTAAAACTGAAGTCAACAGAGTCCCACTGGTGTGACTGAAAACATCATTTGGCCCACAGCTTTCTTCATATTCACAGGGACAGATTCTGCCTGTGGATGCATATATGCCACTTTCAGCAAGGCCTGCTGAAGTTGTGCAGAAAAGAAGAAAAAGGGGGGGGGGGCGGGGGGAAGAGACAGAGATATTCCCTAGTGCTCTTGTGAGCTTTCAGCTTTATAGTACAACCTGTGCCTTAGGATTTAATGGAAGTAATACGTAGCATGCAGAGGGATGACTAGGGGGCATGAAACAATCTGCAAATGTTTGAAAGATGTTTGTGCTCCCCTTAGGTGTGAAAGAAATTACTTCCTATGTTACCAGAGAATTTTCCCAGAAATAGTGGGTCAAAGCTAAAAAAGGGAAACAAAATAAATTTCAGGGAAATGCTTCTGACTGTGAGATTGGATGTATAATTTTTAAAGAAAGAGAAAAATCATGGGCAGTAGGCAATGCAATACTTAAAACTTTTGTTGCTTAATCTCACTAGGGTAACCCAGACTTCTTATATTATTTGGAGAGTTAGAATCTCAGAAGAAGGGGTCTGAGGTTTAATGTTCATGGGAGTG